GGATCAAAAACCAAGGTCTGTAGATGAGTGCAGACGAAGAAATGATTGGCCAAAATGGAAAGACGTTATTCAATCAGAATTAAATTCATTGATAAAATGTAGAGTCCTTGGACCAATAATGTGCACACTTGAAAATGTGCAACCGATAGGATTCAAATGGGTATTTGTGCGAAAAAGAAATGAAAAAAATGAAATCGAGTGTTATAAAGCACGTTTCATCGCACAAGGTTTTTTCCAGCGACTGGGTATTGATTATGAGGAAACATATTCTTTAGTGGTGGATGCAACGGTGTTTCACTATTTGTTAAGTCTGGCAACAAGTGAAAAATTAGAAATGCGATTTATGGATGTTGTGGCAGTTTATTTATATGGTTCACTTGATAATGAAATTTACATAAAAATTTTGGAAGGATTTTAGATCCCTGAAGGATTTGGTTCTCGAGAGCTTTATTCAATTAAATTGTGTAAATATTTGTATGGCTTAAAACAAGCCAGACAAATGTGGTATAACCGCCTTGGTGAATATCTGATAAAGGAAGGTTATTCAAATGATCCAATATGCCCATGTGTTTTTATCAAAAGATGTGGATCTGAGTTTGTAATTATTGTAGTTTATGTTGACGATTTAAATATGATTGGGACTCCTGAAGAGCTCACTAAAGCTGCAAATTACTTGAAGCGAGAATTTGAAATGAAAGACCTTGGAAAGACAAAATTTTGTCTTGATTTACAAATTGAGCACACCAAAAGTGGCATCATTTTACACCAGTCTGTTTATACTGCTAAAGCGCTTTAACGGTTTTACATGGAAAAGGCACATCTTTTGAGCACACCTATGATTGTAAGGACATTTGATAAGGATAAAGATCCTTTTAGGCCCTGTGAGGAAGGTAAAGAGTTACTTGGTCCAGAAGTACTTTATACTTTATCTTAGTGCTATTGGGGAATGAATATATCTCGCTAGTTATACACGACATGATATATCTTTTGCTATTAATTTATTAGCTAGATATAGTTCATCACCTACAAGAAGGCATTGGAATGGTGTTAAACATATTTTTCGCTACTTTCAAGGTACGATAGATATGAGTCTTTATTATTTAAGAACATCTAACCTGATTTAGTAGGTTATGCAGATGTTGGATATTTATCTAATCCTCATAATGGTCGATCTCAAACTGGTTATGTTTTTACATGTGGGGGAACAACTATTTCATGTCGGTCTATGAAACAGACTGTAGCTGCAACTTCGACTAATCATTCTGAACTTATGGCAATTCATGAAACAAATTGAGAGTGTGTTTAGTTGAGATATATTATTTCTCATATTCGAGGCTCGTGTGGATTATATTTAGAGAAAAAATGTTTCTACTGTTTTGTTTAAAGATAATACTGCCTGCATTAACCAATTGAAGAAAGGCTACATCAAAGGTGATAGAACGAAACATATTTCACCCAAATTTTTCTTTACTCATGACCTTCAGAAGAATGGTGAAATCAATGTTCAACAAATTCGTTCAAGTGACAATTTAGCTCACTTATTCACAAAGTCATTACCAACATCAACTTTTGAGAAGTTAGTTCACAAGATTGGAATGCGGCGGTTAAAAGATGCCAAGTGATGTGCTCAACAGGGGGAGTTTCTCCATGTTGTATTCTTTTTCCTTTGATCGAGATTTTATCCTGATATATTTTCCTGACAAAATTTTTAATGAGGCAGCGTCATATTTGAAAATATACTCTATTTCCTGTATTAGATTTTTATCCCACCGGATTTTTCCTATTAAAGGTTTTAACAAGGCATTATTTCAAGAAATGGACATCTAAGGAGGAGTTTATAATTATGTGATAATATGGATGTCCATAAACTAGTATAGTTATACAAGAACTCTTTGTATAGAGATAATATTCATTAGATCTTATCACCGGTTATATGTTATCTCTATTTGCTCTTATCTTTGTATCTGCTATACCTATAAAAGGAGACCAATTTCTGCAGAAATAATTATCTGATAATATGGATGTCCATAAATTAGTATATTTATACAAGAACTCTTTGTATAGAGATAATATTTATTAGATCTTATCACCGGTTATATGTTATCTCTATTTGCTCTTATCTTTGTATCTGCTATACCTATAAAAGGAGACCAATTTCTGCAGAAATAATACGCAGATCATTATCTCTCTTTCTCCCTCTATTATTTTCTCTCTCTACTTGTTCTTGTTCCCAACTGTATAGTTTTGTTCTTCAATTTATATTTGTAACATATATGAGTTTATTCAGAGCTTATTACATTATTTGGAACAAAAGCAATTGGTGAAGAGGATACACATCAGCCTCTAGTCAACGTTTTGATGAATGGATATTTGCATAGATCAAAGCACACCAAGTGTTCACTTTTCAACAAAAAAAAAATAATTAGGAAATGATAAACACATTAATCAATTGTTTAGATCGTCAACTAGTATGCTTTTTTTCTTCCTTTTTTTTTCCTTGGCATTTTCTCATGTATATCTTGCATTTAGCTGTTCACGTTCCTAGTTATTACTCCTTCGTCTCTACATAATAATCTAATTTGAATTTAAACATAGTCGTATTTTTAAAACTGAAAAAAAATTCACAACACCGCTATCTTTGTGGAAAGATCTAATTATAAATCTTCACTTTATCCAAATCATACTACATTTGACATCATAACCTTGAAGTGGAAACATAATGCGATTGTACATATATTTCACAAAACTGGAAAGTGTTGGAACAAAGAATTTCACATTAGTCTTGTGAAGGATTTGTCACTTGTTTATAAGTGACAAAGCCCACCCAACTCATTGTCAATTGGTTTTGAGATGAGAGGCCAAGATGACTTTGACAAAAAGCCTTTTTTTTTTTAATGGGAGGACCTGGAAAGGGTATTTTTGTTGTTGTTTTGATTTTCATGCCCACTCGCTCATTTCACATAAAAAACACCCGTCGTGGTTAGGGCGTTTTAGAAAAAATGCGAAAGATTTTACACCGAAAGAAAACTATCCTTTCTTTGAAAAAAAAAAAAAAAGAAAGAAAGTAAAATGAAAAATTACAAAGACTGGCGTTCTTAATTAATGATAGGCGCCCCCAAACCATAGGAATAGACAATGTTATCATATGTTTAGAATGGTAAATATTTAAACAGAAAGTAGTAAACATCACTACATCAGTTGAAACTTGTGAATAAAGTTAAGCTCGTTGCTTAGTGCTTGATTGTGACATAATCTGCGGACAATATTGTCCCAATGAATTGCAATTTTTTTTAAAATATATATATATATATATAAATTGTTTATCGACGACAATAGACTAATTAGCCAATGAATTATTGCCAATTTGGCACCACCTTGATTAGAATAATATGATTATCTTCTCCAATTTGATTTGTTTCAAGGGGGCTAGTAACTTCAAAAACGTGCTTTCTTTTTTTCTTTAAATTTCTGGCCTTCCTCGAGTCAGGAAGAAATATAAAATAATTGTCCATCTCTATATATAACTTCTATTCCATTTTTTTTTTAATTCTGAATTAGAAAAATAAACGATAATTAACGTGTCTTTTTCTCCTTCAAATGCAAACACTCGATAATTAATCGTGAAATTCACGTCAACTCCATTTGGTTATTACTCTTCATATTTTTGGATATCCACTTATTATAATAGCTCCATTAGACTTAGATATTGTTGATCTCTATATAAAATTTTCTATGAAAATGGTTACTCTCTTCCCGCAATAACACAACATCATTTATTGAATTATTTTAATACAATATAAACACAACTTTTGTTTTTTGGTCGGAGGAGTATAATTTTGTCTCTTTTTCCGAGTATATATCTTTATCATGTCCGCATCGTATAACGGATATATTCTCACGCGGCTAAAATTAGGTTAATCAATTCTCCCTGATGGACACAAAAAGTCTTCTAAGAAGATAACAACAGGTCAATATGCCAAGATTTCAAGGTAATTAAACTATTAAAGAATCTTTGTTGTTAAGCACGAGTTTAAACAAGGAATTGGGTTGTTATCAAACGCACACCGACGAAAATAAGAAAATATATAAATTACATTATCAGTTATTGAGGTGTTCATTAACTACTAAATGTTTCATTGTACTTCCAAATGTCCCGGAATTTCCAAAAATTCTTGAAGCAAGAATGATCGTATGAATTATTCCCTCCACCCAAAAAGTATTCCAACAAGATGGGACGAATAGAGTAAATTAATGTGAGATACTGGACAAATATTTTGTAAATATGCTAGGAACCAAATTTTCACTGAACTTCTAAAAATTTTAGAAGGGGACATGACAGATTAAGCGTTCCAAAAAAATGTAAAGCGTTCGGATATAGCAGCACTAAAGCCTTTCACTGAATTTTTTTTTCTTTCCTTTAAAAAAAAAAAAAAAGAGAAAGATATATAACCGCATGTGCGAATTTCTTTTGGGCTAACTATATATATACTACAGTATGGAATGATGCAAGCAACGAAGGCATCCAGTTCCGGACAACATATCTGCACAAATTCTAGTCAAACTTTCTACGAAATGGGTTTTTTGTTCAAATTATATATATATATATATATATATATAGCACGCCAAATGTCACTTATATTAAACTACTATAACAATAGGATTAAAAAATTGTTACTTGATTGCGCCTAATAAATAATTGAAAAAGACACGCATCGAGTATTACGAGTAAACATGTAACACTAAAAAAGTGATAGAGAAGACGTGAATCATGTTTATAGCACATTTCTCCCTGAATATCTTGCATTTAGCTGCCTACGTTCACCAAGTCCACCAACATATTCCCACCATCTCCAAGGAAATTAATCAAGTCTATATATATACCAACAAACTTTCAGTTTCATATGCACCAAATTATATACATAACCAGAAGTGGGAGCTTAATTTACTTATAGTTTTTGCATCCACTCACATTTGTTTTCAGTTTCTGATATCCTCAAACCATGGCTCCAGATATCTCAAACATCCTTCCTAGGGTTCTCATTGTCTCCAGAAGAACCGTTCGTAAGAACAAGTTCGTCGATTTTGTAGGTACGCGTGCGTCATCTGATCTTCCACCGTCCCAGAAAAATAGTCTACTTTACTATGATCACAAATCAGCTTTTTTTCACACGTCTTAAGTGTTGGTTCTTCAACTTGTAAAAATGACATGAGGGTTCTTTTTTGTTTTCTTTTAGGAGAATATCATATGGATTTAATAGTAAGATATGGAGCTGCACCAGTAATTGTACCAAGAGTTAGTGGAATCGACAAGCTGTTGGAGAGTTTTGAACCGATTCATGGAGTTCTTCTTTGTGAAGGAGAAGACATAGACCCGTCTCTATATGATGCTGACTTGTCAGGAATTTCAACTGAAGAACTCGAAGAGATTAAGAGATCACACGCAAGTGACACGGCGATTGATCGCGAAAAGGATTCGATTGAACTAAGGCTGGTAAAGCTCTGTCTTGAAAGAAACATACCTTATTTAGGGATATGCAGAGGATCACAAATCCTTAATGTGGCTTGTGGAGGCACCCTTTATCAAGATATTGGTAGTGAATTGTCCAAGAACAACAACAACAAATCAGGCCCTGGAAATCTTCAGCCTCATCATGTTTTGCACATGGACTATGGAGATTATGATGGGCATAGGCATCCAATTCAGGTGGTTCAGGACACTCCACTTCATCAGTGGTTTAAGGATTCCATGACAGAGGATGAAATGGAAATTCAGGTGAATAGTTATCACCATCAAGGTGTGAAAAGACTAGCTCAGCGTTTTGTTCCGATGGCTTTCGCTCCTGATGGTTTGATTGAAGGATTTTATGATCCAGAAGCTCATAATCCCGAAGAGGGAAAGTTCATCATGGGGCTCCAGTTTCATCCTGAACGTATGCAGGATCAGGACACCGGCGAATTTGACTATCCAGGATGCTCCTTCGCATATCAGGTAAGTTACTTTTTTAAAAAAAAAAATAAAAAAAAAGTACTCATAACAATTATCCGCTGCGTTGAACTAAACACGAAATTGACATTTCTCTGGTTGCAGGAATTTGTGAAAGCTGTGATAGCTTATAAAAAGAAGCTGAATGGTCTAACTGATGCACCTAAAAGAATAATATCAATAAAGCTAGACCAAGATGTAGAGAAAAAGAGAAAAACCATTGTCCGGAGTTTCTCTGTCGCGGGGATTTCAGGGCACGAAAGAATGTCAGTCAAGAAGTCTGAGCTTGAGGCAGGAGCAGAATTCCTTCAGGTATTCAGAACTTACACAGTTAAAACCTTGAGTATCAAATTTAGCCGACCCGCATAGTGGTAAAATACTGCAAGTGTGATAATTGGTTTTGACAGAAATTAAATTTTTGATGTTGTAGGCCAATATAGTATTGAGTTTGCAGGAAGAGAATAGACTAAAGCAAATGGGGGCAACAGTAAGGAATGCGTCAGAGTACATGGAGAAACTGATGAATGAAGATAAAGAGACGCTTGCCAAGGCTATAATTCACAAAATGTCAATTGAACAACTATCTGATTTGGTTTCTTTTTACCACAAAATGGGACAGATTTGCTCTGAAGCAATGCAGATGAAGCTTACTAGCTTCACAGACGAATTTAATACAACAGTCATTTAGTTTCCAGATCCATTATTCAGAGGCTTTGTAATCTTGTGAATGGTTATTGCACATTTTTTTCCCTGTGTTTTCTTTTCTTTCTTTATAGTGACGGGTGTTATTCTCTTGTAATTAAGATTGAAAGTACTATATTGTTGCCTCGCTTCGTTCCGATACATCAAAAATATATTTTCCATTGTCTCGAATTAGAAACAAAAATGACACAAAAATGACCGGGAAGTTTTTACTCATTTAGGGGAAAAAAAAGAAGAATTCTTATAAAAAATAAAAGTGATGAATTAAAGAACAAAATTGATACCATCGACTTTATAGTCAGTTTTGTAAATATCAACAAAATAGTTGACGCAATCATAATTTTGGTAAATTGCAAAGACTTTGCATTTTTCAAATGCGAACTTTTTCGTCAACCTATTAAAGCTAACTACAAAGTCGACGTGATTTATACAATTTAATTTTTTTTTTTATTTGTAGTTATTTATTTAACGATCCTCTCTTTTCAATTTTTTACTCGAGTGTACCATAAAACAGGTTATTGAACTATATGATAATTCTATTACAGGTCATCAATCAAATTTATTTGCAAAAAAAAATCACCATACTAAGCAAAAAAATTCATCCGAGATCATTTTGTTAATTTTGACCGTTAAATACTGATGAAAATCTATTTTTTACATACTTTTGGATTTAGGGGTATTTTTGTCATTTTTTTGTTTTTAAATTTTTTTTTAAAAAGAAGAATTAATTTTAAATTTTTTTTTTACAATTATTCTTCTTATACTTCGTAACTTGTATATGTTGATAGTATGATTTCTAAATTTCAAAAATTAATTTAACTTTTGTATCTTAGCTTCTAGATTATAATTTTTATAAAAAATTAGAAAAATGAGAAGAAAAAATTCGAGTTGAAGTAAAGATGAAAATTAATATTTTATCATTTTAAACCAACACAGAAACTAAAAAATTAGCAGTCCTAAATTTTTTTTGGCAGAAATAATTGTGATTTTCTTAATTTGTTAGTGTTTAAGTGTATGTGTAAAAGAAAAAATGGTGGAGCAATTTATTACATTTAGTTCCCACATTGGTTCATATACATGTACTTACAATAACTTGACTGGGATTATGTAACTTTTTAAATTTGATTCTAATACAAAATATTGATTCTAGAATTTGGTAACATTAATCTATTTGTTATAAAAAATAATAATAATAAAACTCGTCGATCAGTTTCACTTTCACATAATTAATCAATGGTTAGCGATATTGTCAGAGTAAATATTAGTATCCAGAGCAAATTATGTCACTTATTCCTGATTTATCTTTTTTAGTCAACTATCTCAATTGTATCGACACTTCCTCCCTCCCAACCCTTCTTCTCTCTTTTTCCTGCATCTCTTTCGATTTATTCTCTTTTTAAGTCCGTCAAAACAATCTCCAGAATATCTACTACCATCCCAATTGCAATCCAAGAAAACCTCTGGAAATTTTCTAAAACTAAGGGAATGCAATTATGCCTAGGCGTTGACTCTTGAAAACTCTTAAATAATCCATTTTAAGAAATCGTGTGGAATCCCATTTCTTTATTCCTTAAGCTAACTCGTTGAATTATTTATCCAAACTGATTTTTTTTTAATGTGCATTGCAGTCTACATTTTGATTTAGATTTTTTTTTTTTTAACAAAGAAGGGGGCATGAGAGACTATTTTCAGGTCCCAATCAACTCATAAAATACTCAAGGGGTGTACCTAAGAGCTATTTTTTAAGTCAACCAGTGCTAGATGATACAATACACCCAAGGGGTATATGCAAGGGATGGACATATATGTCATATAGTTTCCTAGGTTCGTCCATCCCCCTAATGTCTTTATTAAAAATTTTGTAAAAGTTACCCTAAATGGCAGTGCTTAAGACTTACCACCTATCTAAGTCTCATATATGAAAAATCCTGCTGATCTAAGGTTATCAAACCTTTTATATCCATTGGAAGTTCCCTATATGTATAAAAGCATGTGGCTATTCCAGAAGAGGCTACAATAGCAAGGTTATCAGCACCTGCATTAGCTTCACAATAAACATGTATAATGGAGTAATGCAAACTCTGGATAAGGTACTGAATTTCATGAAGATCCCTGCTGAGTCGCCACAGGAAGTCACCACTTGAATTGATGAGCATAGCTAGGCCGAGATTATCTGTTTGAACCTCCACATTTCGTAGGTTAAGAAGACAGCAACGCGTTATACCAAAAAGGATGCCACTAACTTTTGTAAGAAGACTGTCATCTTGGCCTATAAAACCTAATTCACAATAAATAAATTTAGCAGTTTGATCCCGAATGACAAAGCCATGACCAAATGCATTATCTCCTTCGAGGGTAGAGCCATCAGTATTGAGTATGTATTTTTAGTCGAGTGGGACAATGCAATTTTCTTGCAATTTTTCTAGAATATAATCTTCTTTTTTTTGTTATTTTAATATAACTAAAGTGTAACAAAGTGATGATGGTGAAGTTGTTGGTAAATTTTCTATACAGAAGATATTGTCTACAAAAACTAGAAAGAGGTTAAAAAAATTACATGTACGACCTAGAGTTGAACATAATTTTGGAATAAGGGTTTGTCATTTGACTAGAGGAGGATAATTCAGAAAAACTACAATAAATTTAATTTGCTCTAGAGGTTAATATTTCTGCTGCCAATATCGCCAGTCTTAATCAATCACTTTTTATGTATTGGTATCATAAATGAATAAACTGGTGACTAGACCAAAATTTAGTAAAATTGATAGACGTTGTATGCCTATTAACAAAGCAAAAATGGTTTGGGATTGGTTCTCTAGCCTAATTAACGCGTTGAATTTCACAATAAATAAATGGACACTTTAAAAAACCAAAATACAAAGTATAACCATGTAATTATGCAAAATTTTCTATCATATTTATAACAATCAATCAAATCAAACTTCTACAGTAATGACCTCTAAAACCACATATTAGAAGAGAATATGATGTCCTTATTGTAAGTCAATCAACTTAATTTGTTTATATTTGTGATTTTCATATTTTTTTAATCCACTTAGAAATATTATAATAATAAAAATATGGTTCTAACTAATTTTTGTTCTCGTGAAACTGATAAAACTTGGTAACTTGACTAATAATAGGACTGAAAAATTTTGTTGAATTCACAAATTATTAATTTTATCGATAATGAATTAACAACCCGACTGCCATCCCTTTTTCCTAAATTTTTTCTAGAACAATGCAAAAAAAAATTAACCATTTTTTATGTTGATGTTCTGCTATGGTCTAAACATGTCGATTAAGTGTTAGATAGATCTCTGTATCATCTACTTGCTTGAAAATTTTGGTTTTTTTAGATTGAATGTTGTAAAAAAAGTGTTTGATGTAAAAGTGTGGCAATTATGCTAGAAAAAGTGTAGTTAAATTGGTTCTGACAGAAATTAAATTAAATTTTGATGGTGTAGGCCAATATAGTATTGAGTTTGCTATAAGAGAATAGACTAAAGCAAATGGGGGCAACAATAAGGAATGCCTCCGAGTACATGGAGAAACTGAAGATGAACGAAGATAAAGAGAAGTTTGCCAAGTCTATAATGCACAAAATGTCAATTGAACAACTATCTGATCTGGTTTCTTTTTGCCACAAAATGGGACAGATTTGCTCTGAAGCATTACAGATGAAGCTTACTAGCTTCATGGACGAACCTACAACCGTCATTTAGTTTCTAATCCATCACTTAGAGGGTAGTACTTTGTAATCACGTGAACGGTTATTGCACTTCTTTTTCCCCTGTTGTTTTTTTCAGTGATGGGTTTTTCTCACTTGTAATTAAGAATGGAAATACAATATTGTCGCCTCGCTTCGTTCCCAACATAAAATATTTATATTCCATCGTCTCAGATTAAAACCAAAATTGACAGGGAAGTTTTTAATCATGTAGAAAAGAATAAGAAAAGAATTCTTATCAAAAACAAAATTAATAATGAAGAAAATAAAACTAATTATATTGATTTTATCATCGATTTTTAAATATCGACAAAATAGTTGACACAATTATGTTTTTGGTAAATTGTAAAGACTTTGGATTTGCCATATGCGAACCCCATACAAAATGTCTGCGTCGATGTTTTCGTCGACTTATAAAAGTTGACTACAAAGTTGACGCACGTTATACTTTTTCTTTTACTTTGTAATTATGTATTTAACGGTTCTATCTTTCCTTTACCCCAACTATTTTTCTCGGAAAGAATTGTAATTTTCTTAAGTTTTTATAGTACTTAAGTGTATTGTGTAAAAGTGAAACTGGTGGAGAAATTTAATACATAATAATACAGTTCCCCGTTTTGTTTCAAATATGTACGTGTAGTTAAAATAACTTAGATGGGATAAAATAATCTTTTCAATTTGATTCTAATACAAAATATCGATTCTAAAATTTGATAACACTAATCCATCTGATACTAAAAAATTAAAATAATAAGAGTAGTCAATTAGTTTCACTTTCACATAATCACCTTTATGTATCGGAATCTCAAATGAATAAGCTGGTGACTAGTCCAAAATTTAGTAAAATCGATCGATGTTAACTATTAACGAAGGAAAGAATAATTGGATTGGTCCTCCAACCTAATTAACACGTTGGATTTCATAATAAATAAATAGACACTTGAACAAAACGAAATAAAATCCACTAAATACCGAGTATCACAACTCAATTATGCAAGATTTTCTTAGCATATAACAATCAATCAAATCAAACTTCTGCAGTAATTACCTCTAAGACCACATACTAAAAGAGAATATGATGTCCTTTCAAGCCAATCGATTGTTATCTTTTTTTTAAAAAAAAAAAAGAAGAAGAAAAACAATCAACTGTTATCTAATGAACAAGAATCTATCTCATTTCAATAAATAACTATGATCAATCCACTCAATAATTAAGTAAATTAATTTCACAAAAACAAGTTAATTTGGGTTTCTTTATAAATAATATTTAGTTGCATAATTATCCTCTTGATTTGAATTTCCTAGAATTTCAAATATAAAAGTTCGTAAATAACACCTTTGTACTCTCACTTGTTTTATTTTTTGAGCATAAAATTGTTATTTTAATTTAAAAGTTTAGGACACTGTTATAGTAATCTATATCTCTTCACATATTAATCAATCATTTTTCATCCCATTTTATTTTCCAAAAAAAAAAAGAAAAAGGAAAAGAAGCAACGCTTCAACTCTGAATAGGCAATTCATATAGGTGCGCCAAATACAAAAATGCTTGTCGGTTTTTTTATTAACTAGTGTGTGTCCCACGCTTTGAGTGGCTTTGATTAGATAATGTAGTTACAAATATATATATATATATATATATATATATATATATATACCGTCCTTATTCTCTTAAAAAAATGTAGTTACGAATATTTCTTAAAACTGTAATTTTTTTTATTAATCTGTTTTAGATCAAAATGAGAGGTATTGATATTATTTATGAGAGGTATATTGTAAGATTTAGTAAAAAATATTACAACAAAGATTTTCAAAAATTGTCTAATAAAAATTATTACCACTAACTAATGTTATGTTTGGTTTAAAAAATATATTTTTAAAAATGCGTAAATTATGTCTAGATGCATATGGCCTATTTTTATAGGCAAGTGGACTTTGGGGATTAGATGTAGTTCTAATAAAATATGAGACACAATTAATCGTCCTTGAAAATGTAAAATTGATAAACTTGAAAACTAAATAGCACACAAATGGAATTTTAAGGGCCAAAATGACAATAGGTTGAAAGTTTAAACTTGTAAATGAAAGGACTTTTGAAGTCGGGACTTTCTCACCAATTTTCAAAAATATTTATTTTCAAACTCACAATTTGTAATATCTGTAAAAATCTTATATACTCCCTCCGTCCCACAAAAATAGTCCAGTTTGAAACTATACAACTTTTTTAATTTGGTCAACACACCAAATGTACAACTCATTTCATTCCCCTAACTTACACTAATGTCCCTTCTAGTTATTTCTATAAAAGTTAACTACATATACATTTATTTTACAACTTAAATTTGATCAAAATTTTTATCTCAAAAAATATTGACAATGGATCTTGATGGAAAAATCTCGTTACGTAGATTAATTTGATATATAATATATTTTTTAATTATTCATGTATTAAAAGATATAATCATTTGAAAAAATGAGAGAAAACTAAGAAAAATAAAAATCAAAGGAAGTGGACCTTGTTTTTCATACCACTAATCTTTTGGATATTTAAGTCATTTCAATTCAATGAATTTTGACTTTTGTTAAACTGGACTATTTTTTTAGTATAATATTTTTTATTAAATTAGATTATTTTTGTGGGACCGATGGAGTAGTAAATAATTTATTAACTGTTTACAAAAAATTTTAACTGATTAATGATCAACCAATTAACAAATGACACTTATTAATTGAAACTTGATGGTCTCAATGAGCGACACGTGTCAATTATCTTTTTTTTTCTTTAATATATATAATGATTTGTAAAATACGCTAGAAAAAAATGGGCTAGTTTCGTTTACTTTTAGTTTTTAACTTGATCCATAGTGTAAGCGGAAGAACCGCATTCTATCTCATCAGATCAATTATTTCGAAAATTTATTCAATTTCTCTCCCCAAAATAACTAATAATTCACCTTTTCTTGGAAAGTTGAACAAAATGTCGGGTATTAGAAAACAAAATAAAATAAAAATTGATCCACGATGAGTACTGAGATCACGTTCTGAATTGAAAACCATCAAGATCATATGTTCCGATTTGTAAATCGACCCAAGAACAAACACTTGATCGGATATCACGATATTCATATACATCCAGAATCCCTGGGATTATGCAAACTAAACTCAAATCCAAACCCAACTAGGGGTTGGTTTGATTTGCTGCCTATATGTACGTATATGTGGTTTCTTAATTTCTCCACCAAATCAAATCAAAATTTATAAACCCCGCGGAAACAAAAGTTGAAGACATATCTTCTTGATGGAACCAAAATTGACGGATTGGTCGGCCCTCCATTTAGATCTGTTGGTGGAGATAGCCAAAGGTATATCCATTGTGGAAGATTTCATGGCGTTTAGAGGCGTGTGTATTTCATGGAGATCGGCCGCCACCAAGGATAAATTCGTCCCTCGTTGGCCTAGAGCACCATTGCTTATGTTGGCAGACAAACCAGAGCGGAACTTGAATTGCGTGGAACGCGAATTTTACAGTCTGTCGAAAGGAAAGATTTGTATGAGATTCACCCTTCCAGAGGCAAAAGGTAAACGATGTATGGAAGTTGGATTCGGATGGTTGTTAACCGTTAAGGATACTTCCGGCGAGATCAATTTGTTAAATCCTTTTTCTCACCAACAGATTCACCTCCCCGGTCTGCAAACCATCCCCGAGTATAAAATTTACACTTGGGTGGACCCGTTTTACTATTTCATAACATTAGCCACCTTGTCACATAATCCCTCCAAGACCTCAAATTTTACGCTGTTGGCTACTCAATGTGGTGGTAAGTTTCTTGGGTTGTGGAGGCCTGGAGATGCAGCCTGGACGAGGATACAAACATATGATGATACCCTATTCGAACATGTGAATTACTATAAAGGAAAGTTTTTCGCGATTTCTTACCGTGGAGAATTTTGGGTTTTGGATGATGATAGTCCAACAGCTCGTATTCTCTTCTCCATGGATCGTCGTTTGTTATCCTCCTATAGACAGCTATATTTGGTGGAATCGTCATTTGGGAAGTTACTGTTGATTTTGCGAGTAGAGAATGCTATCCCTAACGCTCCCCTGAATGACATAATTGGTAAGTACTATTGCACTACGGCTTTCAAAGTTTATCGAGTTGACACAACAATACCCGATTACGAGGAGATTTCGTCTTTGGAAGGGGATGCCATATTTGTTGGGTTTAATGATGCAATTTCTATTTCAAGAGTGGAGGCGGAAACAAATGGAATTAAAAATAATTGTATATATTTTACTGATGATCATTGGGCAGCATTCTCGGCTCTAGGAGGGGGTGGAAAGGATACTGGGATTTATAATGTTGAAGATAGAAGTGTTGAACACATCCACAATGACCTTAGTTTAATTTGCCCGTCCATGTGGATTCCTCTTGGCAATTAACTAGGTCATGAGTGATCAATGTTCTTTTACTATTTACTACCAACTCAAGAATTTATTTCATGATTTAGAGTATCCATTTTGTATTTTTTTAATTGACTTGTTGTGTATATGACTTTTTGGGTGTGTTTTTATATAAATTTGACACGGTGCACATTTGTCATGAGTTTGGGGTCAAAATTAAGGGTTCTCAATTTGTAATCTTATTAGTCTCATGTCGTAGAATTTTAGGCACAACTATTGCAAAACCAGCTATAAGCGATTTTAAGAAAAAATCTAATGAAATTGTCTTTTCTTTGCTCTCAACTCTGAGATTTGTTCCCCTATTCTCTTCTTTACCAGAATCATTGCAACTTTTTGAGTTTAGTTTCCCACCAGTGCTATTTCGAATCATTATATTTCGTTCTTATTTGTAAATTCTTTCTATGTGAATATTAAGTTAACTGTTTTTCTTGACGCACAATAGTTGATGAAAAAGTGTATAAATAATTTGTTTGATGCTTAGGAACAATTAGGTTTTGGTATTTTTTTTTTTAATACAAAGAAACTCATTATGAACACGTTAAACACTTTTTACTTCCTATCAGTACAATGCTGCAAACAAAACTACGTATCATTATATATATTAAAGAAAAGAAAGATAATCGACACGTGTCGCTAATTGAGACCATCAAGCATCACTTTTAACTTATTATCATTTTAGCCTTAAAGTTCTATTTATGTGCTACTTTGTCTTCAATATTATCGATTTTATATTTTCAAGGACGATTAATTGTGTATAATCCCTAAAGTCCCCTTGCCTATAAATAAACCATAGACATCTAGACATAATTTACGTATTTTTTAATATATTTTTTTAATCCAAACATAACATTAGTTAGTGGTGACAATTTTTATTATACAATTTTTCAAAATTTTTGTTATAATATTTTTTGCCAGATCTTACAAATATACATCTCATAAATAATATCAATACCTCTCATTTTGATCTAAAATTGATTAATCAAAAAAAATTTTACCGTTTTAAAAAATATTAATAATTACATTATCTAATTAATTCTTTTAGAAGATAAATTTTCAACATTGACAAACCCGCGTAAAGCACGGAACACATACTAGTATAAAGAATTAGATAACGAAAAGTATGAAACGAATCATGCATGCAAGTGCCAAATCAAATAAAACAAATGAGGAGTGGAATAGCGTAATCAGAGAATCTAAAATAAGCTGGTGATGTGATAAACGAATCCGATAAACTGATGTGCCAAATTTTTGTCTTACATTTTTTTTCTTTTTAATTCTCTTTGGCTATTTGTTGTCAAGATAAACTTATTATACGAAACTGAAAATGGAAAAGTTTTAACAACAAAATAGGGAATAGACATGAGATGATTTTGGCCCACGATGTGATGAACTGGAATCTCGTTTTAAGTTAACAAAAGGTGGAGACTCTAAACAAACTCTTTTCTCCTAAAAGTTCAATCGTGATGTAATCATAAAGAAATCATATATGTAACCTACTAATGAAAAATCAAGAAAGAGGAAACTAAAATGATCTTCCACTTGCCACCTAGGATTTTAGTTATGTGTAAATTTTTTTTTTTTTTTTTTTTTGCATTTGAAAAATATACCAAACAAATTTCCATTTAAATACTTTTACTAATTAACTTATAAAAAATCCTCATCTAAACACTCTTTTGCATAACAAATTCTGGTAAGTTTGTTTAATGTTATCTTGATTACAATTAGCAATCAAAATCAAAAGTGAGTTCAAGTATGATGACTAAAATCTCGGATAATGTGATTTTTAACATGAAAAACTAGTACTTACCCGCGCATTGCGCGACGGCTGGAGATCTGATTCTTACAAATTTTTTAAATTAATAAATTATTTAAAACTGCCATTGTAGAAACTATTAAGAGGAGATAGTATTTTTAAAATGTAAAATATGAATGCTGACATAAAATGACAAAAGTAGTGACATTATGTAAAAAGAGAAATAAATAAAATAAAGTAATGAAACAGTAAAATAATAAGTAATAAACCAGTAAATATTGAAATAATAAGTAATAAAAAATAACATTTTATTCAACTAAATAGTAAATAAATAGTAAATATAATGTTACGTATTTACCCAAAAAACCTACCACGAAACCTATTAAATAGATTTAATGTTGTTCAGATAAATATTTATATTTTCCATGTTTTTTATTACTTAAAATTTAAACCTTTTAGATTATCTTTTAAAACAAAAAATATGTATATCTTTTGTTAAAGTTAGGATCGGATTTTCTGATGGGAGAAATTATTTAAACTAATCCAAGAAAAAAAGTACTAATTTGAAAGGATTTACACTTTTAAACTAATCCAAGTAAATAATAAAAAAAGTGATGTTAAAGGATTTACAGTTTAAAAGTAGGAACATTTCTATCACGAGCGTAAGAAAGATTAGATTCATTATAAAGGGCACGGGTCATTATCTAGCATTGAATGTTTATTATTTTGTTTCATGTCTCAAAAGGACCGAATAATCCCTACTTCCTGCTTCGTGATGAATTATGCAAAATTCTAGAAGGACAAAAAAATTCCCTTTGTTCTATGATCGTATAGTATACGCCATCATTCAAGTGCATAGTTTACGCAAAATTCCAGCGTCTTAAATTTTACTATTCCATTAAAGTGATTTTCCAAAAAAAAACACAAAAAAATATAAAAGCAAAAACTATTTGAGAAAATTTTCTAAAGCACACACGATTGATAAAAATCTACCGAAAAATAATCCCACAGTCCATCAACTAATAAAAAACACAAAAACTAATGCAAGCATACAAACAAAAGGATTTGGATTAAATAACAAAAAATACTTTTGTTTTAGACGGCAAACAACAAAATTAGCTTGAAAGAAAATGCTTCTACAGATTGAAAATCCTCACAAACCCTTTTGAAGAAGCAAAACAAAAACCCAAAAAAAAAGAAAAAAAAATAGAGGAGAATATAGAAAAGGAATTTAATTCTGGTTGTGTGTATTTATAACCATGGATCGCAACCCTTGTACTAAAAGGGTTTTCGGCAATTGGGCATGATAGGGATGTGTTCAAAATTCAAATCAAACTTGTTCGCGACTTTTTGGGAGATGTTGGATTTGGTTAAGAATGAACCAGTCCCTTCGGGGACATCCGAAAAAAGAAGAATGAATCAACAATTTATTAACCGAATTAAATTTGATTGTATCTTTTTCGTATTATCTTATGTTTATGATTAGTTTGTATATTTTCCATAAAATATGGTACCACGTAGAATCAGAAGAAAATTTTTTCTTTCAGAAATTAAAGAAGCAAAAATTAGGATATGATTAGATTTGTTTTCAATTAAGCAGATTATTGGGCTCATAGTCATTTCTTTGCAGAAATCTTGCAAAACATTTTTTCCATCATTTGATTGTTTGTTCTAATGAACTTCTTCAAATCAGTATTCTCTCATAAGATTCATTTTCGTCATCGCCCGATCAAAATCCCGATGTAACTCCAACTTCGTCTTCAAAATCGAATTTGAATTCAGATTCAAAGTCCCCTCAATTTCCAAACATTCCCATCCATTCCAAACTCCTAGACAACGTTTGGATCATCCCGTTTGAAGACCGTCGCGATGAAATCGGGGTCAGTTATCGGGAACTACTCCGGGATCTCGAGTAGTTCAGTTCCTGATTGAGAAAGGAAATGACGATTATCCGTGAAGTCGAACGATTTGAATCCGGGGCCGCCGTTGCTCAAATTTCGCTTGGATCTAGCCCTTCTTTGACAACACTTCGGATATGATTATCGTCGGAAGTATTTCAGTCCATATAATTTTTTTTACAATAAGTTAAAGGTAAATTAGTATAAGGTAATTTTGAATAAATAGTAAATAAACAGTAATAAATATTTTACCATTTAAATTAACATAAATAGTAAATATAAAATGCTAACTATTTTATTGTTAAAAATTTACCACGAAATCTATTAGTATCCTAATTGAGCGACATGTGTCCCAAGAAAAAAAATGCTATTGAAATATAAAATACTAACTATTTTACTGTTAAAAATTTACCACAAAATGCTATTAGTATCCTAATTTTTACATCTTCTCTAATGAAGAAATTATTTAAAATCACCATTGTAGAAACTATTGAGAGAACATAATATTTATAAGATGTAAATGTTAGCATAAAATGACGAAAGTAGTGATATTATGGTGTATAGTGTTGGATGAAAGTATATGTATTGATTAAAGGGTATGGATCGTCCAAGAAAAATATTAACCATTCTTTTAAGAATGGGTCTAAATTTGGCAAATAAAAATGTAAACTTTCATAGGCCAATTCAAAGATTTGTCCAATGTAAATATTTTAAATATGAGCCCAATCTCAATCAAACTACAATTAAAAAAAACAAACTCTAAAATTCATCTTCTCTACGTTGCCTCCATCTCCCCCCTTTCTCCACCGCCGCCTCCAAATAAACAAATGCTAAAAAACAAACAGCCGCCTCCATCTCCCCCTTTCCACCACCTTCTCTACGCTGCCCCAACAGCCTCCATCTCCCTCCTTCCTCCTCCACCGGCGCCACCTCCATCACCTTCCTTCTTCCTCCACCTTCTCCACGTTGCCACCACCATCACCTCCTCCATCTCCTTCCTTATGTCTCTACTCTCTACCTTCTCCACGCTGCAACTAACCACCACCTTTCTCTCCTCATCCCAAGACTAAATTCATAGAAATTTCAAGATATGAAAATGAGAAAATAGTGTTAGATCTCAATCTGATCTCCATCTTGCTTAATTATCGCCGGATCTCCACACCGTCGCTTCTCTTTCCGACGACTTTCCCGGTACATCGATGACGTATCTTTGGTCGGCGACTTCGCCGGTGTTATGTAGTGGAGATCGGATTTTCGGCCTTGCTGGTGTTGTGTATCACAAATCAGAATCCTGGCCAGTACGGCCGGTGTTACAGGTGTCATCGCTGATAAATTGTCGGTGAAGATAATGTAAGAACATCAGACCGGAGAAAATAGTTGCCGGAATCAACCGTGATCTAAGCCGTTCCTATTTCAGTCCACCGGGAAACTTTTCTGATCAAGGTTACGGAGTTATTTGGCGAATCTTTTGTGAGTAAATGGATAGCAGTACCATCGGAGTTGAGTTACGGTCTCCGGTCAAAGTGGGATTTTAAGCCGGTATTGCGATAGGCCGTCCAAGCTGGCGGATTGAAATCCTGCGTCCACCGGGAAACTTTACTTTGTGTCGTTTGATGTTTTTTTTTAATCCCGGTAACAAATCAGTAATTGTATTAAGTAAATATCAGATGAAAAAAAATAAGTTTTATGGGATGTGAGGAAAAAATAAAATTATCCGTACAAATAACATTAGATATTTATTGTAAATTTTTACCGCAAAACCTATTAATATCGAGCCATACATACGTGTCTCGAAAAAAAATCCCTTTCATATATATCTAAGATTATCACCAAATTTGTTGATTTCATCAGTTTGTATTATTATCCAATAAATAAAGGCAGATTATCCATCAAAACTAATTTCCATATTTATCTTTCTGTGATGCATAACGTTTGTTTTTTTTACTACAACAGACTCAATTTTTGGACGGATTTTGTACGTTAGCATATTCTTCCAAATGTTTCAACTACTTTGCCAAATAAAAACTTACTATTTATTTTCCTTTGTTAAACTTAAATGTCAATACATTTTCAAATGAAATCATGTATCACATATTCACGAGACAGACTTTATTTTTATTTTACACATTTCCCTTTACTCAAAAATTTTAACAATTATAAACATTTTACAAGATTTATACAAATGTGATATACTCCCTCCGTCCCATAATTATTGTCCAGTTTGGATTTTTATTTTTAGTTCAAATTGTACTAAAATTGAAAATGCAAACTGGACAATCATTTTGGGACGGAGGGAGTACATTTTTTTTGTTATGAACAATGTAATTTACCCGCACATTGTGCGGATTTAACATCTACTTCTTCCGTCCCATAATTATTGTCCAGTTTGAGTTTTCATTTCTAGTTCAAATTGTACTAAAAAGTGAAATTTCAAACTGGATAATAATTTTAGGACGGAGGGAGTAATTTTTTTTAAAATCTAAGGAACCGACTTTTAGAAAGAAAAAATGAAAAATTAATTAATATATTAAACATAAAATACACTTTTTTTTTTATCTACTATTATAGGTATCCTAAGCTATTTTTTTTATCAACGGTATAATACACTTACACTTAGTGCCTTTTTATAGGGTACGAATAAATGCATAATGGGACTTAAATTTTAGCGCTGGTATTGGGCAAATTCCAGCTGGGTGGGCCGATAACTTCAAAATCTTTTGCCACTTTCAAAAGTATGAGAGTTCTTATATTTCCAAAAAATCAGTGGTTAAAAAAAGAAAAAATGAACTACGGAGAGGAACTAATCAGCTACTGTCAATTTGGAGGCATAGTAGGGTAAAGAAGCAGGTACTATATGCTGGCTTTGTGGCCTGCTTGCACCATGTCTGGGTGGAACGAAATAGTTGATGAAAGAAGGGGTAATCTCAAGAGGCTGAAGTCAGAACGTTAAATGAAGTCAACTGGAGAGCGTCGGATCTACTGGGAAGAAGGTTACTAAGGCTGAGGAAAATTTTTTGATAGCTGTAGGGTTAGGAAAAAGGAGTATACAAACAGAATAGGAGATGGAAACCATTGTGGTGCAGAGTTGGAAAATTTGTAGTATGTCGTACTTTTTTTAAACAAACGATTTCATTCATACTATTCAAATATTACAAAGCTGATGACATTACAGCCACTTTAGCTTGTGAAGGAAAAAGTAGACTATTCGACCTCAAACCTACACTTGCTACAACGTTTGAAGTACACAACTGGAGATGCCATGAATAGTGTGGCTGCTTGAAGTCCATTCAGGCATGCTCCTGGCCTCCTGTAGCTCGATGCTCAGCCTCAGGAACACTGTGCATGAGAAAGGTAGTACAAGTAATATTTCTTTACTGATTAACCATATTTGGGGCTAAAGACAACATCAACAAAGCATAAACTGCGGCAAAGCACACCTCTCGTGATGAATTTCAAAGTACCAATTCACACAGCACATGCAATTTTTTTTGTTTTTTTTTTTGAAGAAAAAGAACCTGTGCATGTCAATGATGAGACAACCAAAAGCAAGAACTAATCAATATCGCTCAAGGTTAATGGCAACACACTTCTTTTGCACACCCCTCCTACCAACATTGTTTCAGAGGTTAAATCTAAGGAAGCCATGGAAATCAGCTACGTTACAAGAATCAAACAGAAAAATCAGTCCCCATATAGAAGTAAATCAGGTCAATCCGTTCGCTCTGATTTCAGTGCCCTTAGAATCGTAACTAAACGTTATTAGTGTTGCAGGCTTCATCGACCAGGTTGGAGAACTTCTAAAAGGTTTCCTATTTGGTACATCCCCATTCTGAACTCCTCAGCTTCCCTAACTCCTGAAGCAAAGAAAAATGATATTCTCCAACAGGAGTCCTCCATTCTGAATCCAATGCTTCATACAATACTTTATTGGCTCAAAAATAGGGCTTCTAGAATTAATCCAAGAAAAAATCTCATTCCAGCCAACAAAAGTACACACCATCCATAATCCCTATATTCATTGCCGTATTTTCTTTCCCAAAAATCCAAGCTTGACACCTATTCTATGATCTAATTATCATATAATTAGAACAATAGTAATTATCAGAGAAGAGGGGGAGGAGAGAGAGAGTTCGATGGCTTGCAAACAAAAAGTTTTGAGAACCACTTGTACACAGACACACACACACAAAACAGTTTCACATCCACCTCGAATTCCCCCTCCCTGTCTTAATTAGCACTAGTTTAAGGGCCCAATAGGAAAAAGACTAGGAAAACACATAAATAATCAATGGAAAATGCAACTTTTCTTTTCTTTTTCCTTTTCTAATTGCAACCAGTTACGAATCTCTGGTGGGGTTGGCCAGTGAACTAAATTTACAGAACCAAAAACTCCTTCAAAAACAAATAAATGAAACAAAGAACTGACGCAGGTCGAAATATCTATCACACGTATCTGTCAAATTTTATTTTGTTTTTTCTTTCAACAAAGGCAAAATCAGAGGCATATACTTAATCAATAATCTCTTCTCACAGGAAACAGTTTCACAATCCACCTTGAATTTCCTCTTCCTACCTTAATTAGCTCTAATTAAGGGCCCAACAGGAAAAAGAGTAGGAAAATACATAAATAATCAACGGAAATTGCAACTTATTCCTTTTCTAATTGCAACCTGTTATGAATCTCTGGTGGTGGAGGTTAGTCAACTACGTTTACAGAACAATGACTTCTTCAAAACCAAATAAAGGAAACAAATATCTGATGCAAGTACAGAACAGAAAAACAAAATACAGAATCACATCCAATCTCATAAACAACAACAAAAGCAAGGGAACAAAAAGGAGGGGAGATGATGTTTGATAGAAATTACATCTATAAAGGAAGGCATCCATATCACTAATCGCATAGCTTAAGCATCACGAACTGCCAAGCTGATTCAATATATTTAAATGAGCTACATATGTCACAGGCCAATGAAACTAACCACCTTGAGTTACATGCACAATTAAGCCCATCAGGAACTAAAATGCTAAAAGCTGTCATAATGCATATGATCTTAAATTCTTACCTTGCACAAGACAGTTGCAAACTCCCTCTAGTAAAATTTGCAGTAGCTGCTGTAGCTAACGAAATGCCATGGTGGAACTGGTACAATGTCACATTTTTCTGAATATACTCTGAAAATTGAACCCTGTAGTCAGGAAAAGAAAACAAAAATCATACAGCGTTGTCAACAAAATCAGAAAGAACAATGATTCGACTGGTATACGATGTGCAAAACAGCGATATCCTTCAACTGAATACTATACTTTTGACAAATAAATTACGGGCAATATTTCTGAACATTCCTAGAGATCGCCAAGGAAGGTTTTATGATGAAACTTAAAAGACAATAATTACGAAGTTTCAGCATATTAAGAAAGTAAGCTCGCACACTTACACATCAGACAACAGGCCAATACCCTCCTTCCATGTATTCCCCTTCCATGTAATCGTCATATTCTCTCAATTCATCTAATAATCTGAAATAATCATCTTCTTTGACGTTTATAAAGAAACTGTGTCCTTCCTGGTCACAGCCAAGATAAGAATCAGACACCAAGAACAATTTGTACGCCTTCTTCCCAAGTTTCTTTGGAGCCATGAACTTCAGTTCGACCCTTTTCTCCCTCTCAATCAGACAATAGTCAATGGCCACTAGATCGTCGTTTTTCTTGTCGCCAACAAGGAGCCACCATCCTTCCTTACCTTTAGGGAATCTAGGGGTCTCTGGAAGTCCCACTGCAGCTTTTCCCTTTACATCTCTTTTCAAAATCACAGACAGATTGGCTGTTTCCCCTGGAATTACTTCATTACAGTGGACCTCGTATTCCACCTTTATTTTTGGGTAGTAGAACCGAGTAATGTCCATCAACTGTGCCTCTGACATCTGCAACAGCTCTCGCCGTTAATTATCCCTCATTTCCATCATATCAAAAACGGTCTCAATGCTCTTACCAGGATGCTCTTCGCACTTCTTCGCCAATTCCTTGGTGAAATGCGGGAGTTGTAGAAGCAAGGAATCGTGTTCCCACATGCCCTGAGTCATCATCTGGGACACTCCAATAGCCAAAATGCAGAGCCTTAGGAAACATGGCTCGCAACAACCTCGATCATTGCTGCAAGCAACTGGCTTGCATAAACAAGAACCACTTGCTGGTCTCTGGCCAGATCTCCCTCAATAGATTTCCGAGAAAAGTGGGCTTGCAGAAGAGCGTTTGCCTTCACACGAGGGTAGCCAAACCCCGGGGCATCAAATGAGAAACGCTGATGACTGATCAACTGCCTAATCAACTCTTTTTCCCCCAGTCGTATTGGAAGTTGATTGTACTCTGATGCTGAAGATTCGATCTCCATTAAACCTTTCAGTGTGGTTTTCGAGGTCAAAGACAAGCTAAAACGCTGAATGGTTGTGCAGCTGATGCCATGAATCGAGGCAAACTTGCCAAGATTCAACAGAGAGACAAAGCAATCTTCAACAACTCGAACACATTCACCTGCTTCAAGATCACTGATGGTATTCTCAATAAGCTCAGCTGAATGATCTTCCAAATGTCTCTGACTAATGCCCTCTAGCTTATAGTAACTCGGGTTCTGGGTCAGCCTCTTAAACATGAACATCCAGGACAAGTATTCAATACCAGCTTGCTTGTCCTTAACAACTCCAGCAGCCACCTCAGAGTTCAGAATATCGTGCAGATGATACCCCAAGCGGCTTTCAACTGGATGAGCTTCAGATAAGAACTTCTGGTAGTATTCTTTCTTTGGTGCATGGCAGAAGATAACACATTTCCCCATATTATCAACAACAGGTCGACTGGCATGACCCATCATCTGCAACAAATCAGAAACTGCATAATCAATTTCTCTGCCATCATAATGGCGCGTTCCCATAATCACCACCAGATGTGCATATAGAGGGACACTCCAACACATTGAACTACACATAACACACACGTGAATACATCCCTTTTGAAACAATGTCTTTACAATATCTTGATCAATACTAGTTAAACCCTCATGCAAATAGCCCACACCATATCGGAGAGTTTGTTTTAGCATTGGTTCCTGAATCCTATCAAGAAGATGATCCACAATTCCCGTAGAGAGCAACAAAAATATTCCCCTATCTGCACCGGCAGTTCCATATCTCATTAAAGCCTCAGCAGTCAAGCAGGCATGCTTGCTCATAGGAACAAAAACAATGGCAGGTTTCCCATTCTTGGCATGCTGAACGATAGTTGCATAGGTAGGCTTGGACATAGCTTGTAAGCTAGGTTCAAAATTCTCCATGTCCACAGCCTGAATATCTATCTCCAATGGTACAGGCCTCGGATCTAGAGGAAAGTTGAAAATGCCATGAGAGGTAGCTCCAATCCATTTCCCCAAATCCTTCGCATTAGCAAGAGAATTTGATAAAGCCACAATGCGGAACTTGTTCGCCAGGTTTCTTCTGATGATTAGCATCCTAGAAATTATGGCTTCCAATATGGCCCCACTATAACCAGTACCAATCAGGTGAAGTTTGTCGACAATGAAAAGGCTAACCTGTTGGACATATCTCAGCTGTTTCCAACAGCTGGACAAAGCAAACCATCTTTCCGGAGTGCTTATAATTATGTGGCCTCTTTGAAGTAGCTTCAGATCTGTAGCCGTCTCCCCGGTCAATTCAACCACTTGGATCCCGAGGCCATCTCCAAACTTCTCCATCTAATCATTACACCGTGCTTTGGAAAGAGTCTCTATAGGAGCTATATATACTGCACGCATAAATGTACGGCTGTTAGAACTTTTCTGGTGGTTCCTCAATATGGCTAATTCTGCACAAAGCGTCTTTCCACTACCAGTTGGTGCAGCAACAAGGACATCCTCGTCAGAGTTGTATAACACTGTGAAAACCTGAGTTTGGACTGGATTAAAATGCGTAAGTTCTTTGTACAAAGCTTCATAGGATTGATTATTCAGTGACGTCAGGGGCAAAGGTTGCAAGTCAAGCAGCTCTGTGGAAGGAGGATGTTTCTCTGGGATTCCTATATACTGCTGGTCTAGAGGTACAGGCTGATAACTGTTGTCAAAGTAAAACAGGCCTTTCTCCACATCAACCTGTAAAAACAAAGCTATATCTTCATAATTTGGAATCAACGCCGAGAAGCACACCATTCTTATATGCTTCTTTGTGCTCTCAATAAACCTAAGAGTTCTGGCAACAATGCTTTCCAGTACAGGACCTTTATTATCAAGCAGCAAATGAATCTCATCTATAATCAGTAACTTTAATAGCTCAGTGTATGTACTGTCCCCAGGCTTTCTGGTGATACTGTCCCACCTTTCGGGCGTAGTAACAATGATCTGAGTTTCCTCAATCTGTTGATGAGTCATAAACAGGTCGCCACTAAGTTCTTTCACCTTCAAATTATAATGCTGAAGCCGATTAGACAAGCTACCAACAATTTCAGCAAGCAGATTCTTTGGGGGTAAGATAGACAATTTTGCAATTACCATGGTCAAAAGACCCATCTTCTTTTCTGTTCAAAGCAACCTGTTGTAAGATTGTAAGCATCGCTATATCAGCTTTCCCTACACTGGTAGGAGCACACAGCAGGATACTATATGCATTAAAAAAGGCAGTTTGATAAACTCTACTCTGAATCCTATTTAAATGGCTTATCCCTTGGAAAGCTTTCTGCGCCCACTGGGGCATGGAAGAGATCTTCACAAGCTCTTCAGTGGGTCCTAACGGTCCTGCCTTCGAAGGAGGCCCGTGTATTTGTGGATCCCCCTTCTTATTCTTCCTAAAAGTACCAACTGGCAGCTCACATTCGTCGACAGTGTCATGTACATGATTACTCTGTCTTTCTTTTGAATCTGCCCGGGTGGCATGCAACTGCTGCAAGATTGCAGCGTGATCTGAGCCCAAGTTCAACATCTCCTCTTCAATTTTGTTCCTATCTTCTGGATTTTTAGCCCTTGCTAAACGAGTACACCATACTATCTTCACCCTGTTACGCAACATATACTCGACCAGATCAAGCTGGACAAACTTCAGCTGTAACATAAGTTCCTTTTTGGCTTTAACATCGTCGTCCTCAGCAAGAATCTGGAGAACCACCTCAGCAGTGTTTTGGCTTTGCTGAGAATCAATCTCATGATCAAAAGCCTGCAAAATGATCCTCTGAAGCCATTCGGAATCAATATCTTCCGCATTCAAAGTCATCCGTTCCATATTAGTTTCCTGCATCTAATCACGCCATCATCACAAATTCCAGCAGTAATTGCAAAGTATGTTGCCCGAGGCTAGGTTTTTTTCTTTTCATTTTCCTCTAAAATACATCCAAAAGGAAAAGCCAATGCTGAGTTGCATGCAGTAAAAAGCATCCAAGCTCAAAAGGAAAGAAAAAGATAGAAGTAATCTAAAACTCCTCTTCGCCAAGAAACATCAAACAACTTTCCAAGATTCTGTAATCCAAACAACTTGCGATCCGCTAAAGAAAACACTCCAATCATAATTATGTATTACCGAACGATGATCAACCAGACAAGAATCGAAACAATCTAAGCCGTAATAGTAGGAATGACTAACCTTGAAAATTGTATTCACCGGCTAGGGTTTTGTGATGGGAAGAAATTGGAGAGGAACGAAAATCGTCTTGAATTTAAGACGACGAACAACGCGACCCCACCTAATGATGCCAAAGAGTAAAGAACGCGAAGCAAATTATATAATCGCAACAATTAAACAGTTTTCAAACAGGAATTGAAAGAAGATTAACCACCAGATGAATCGCACGATAAATTTTTCAAGATACAACGATTACAAATGAGAAGAGTCAGCGGACTAACTGAGGGAAATGCAACTAGAGCAGAAAAAGAACTGTATCGCAAGCTTTTGGCTTGGATTCCGATGAAGCAGTTTATAAGAATTGGGAACTGCGATGCCGATTAAACGGATCAACCGTCTTGAGTTCTCTGAGTGCACGGACCACCACCTGAGTTCTTTCTTTTTGATTTTCTTCTATTTTTCTTTTTTGAAATCACTTGCCCGCCTTGTTGAGAGTAGGTTAGTCTGAGTAGCTCAATTATCCTTTTCACACGTTTGGGTTTTGGTTGTTTTGTTTTTTTAGTGTGTGTTTTTATATTGGGAATGTAAAAAGGTGTATTGGAAACTACACGAGAACTGAATGCGCAGATTACCCACATTCTCTTTCTTTGATTGTTTGTCATCCCTCATCTACGGTCTACGGCCTTTTGCTTCCGCATATCAACTTTTTTTCTTGTGATTTTATCCCTCCTAGTTGATGATCGTCTGCTTCTCATTTTTCTTCTTCCATTTGATGATATATAATTATTAAAACTGTAAAGATTAAACTTGCCACCACATTTTGGTATCTTCTTCAATTTCTTTTCAAACATATCAAAATGTTCATGATTGAAATATTTACACAGTAACTTGATCTTTCCATTTGACAACTGACAAACACTAGTTATCGTCCAAAAGAAGATCCTAAAAATTAGTTCATGACCCCCCAAACTCAAAATATGTCCATTATTGCAGCTTTCAGGAGCTCCTTCACCTCTCTAGCACCCTCTGGTTCTAATTGCGATTCTCAAAACAGGAAGACCGAATATTTTCATCATTGTCGTTGGGGCTCAGGTGGTGGTGGCCACGGTGTTTACATAGAACAGCAACATGAAAGCCGAAAATCAGATACCACAGCTGTCCAAAAACTTGCCGGCTGCTTCTGTGGCGCCTCATGGCCTTCATTGTTGAATACAAAGTCTTCCTTTTCTTTATCGATTCACAAAGTCACTGGAAAATACTATACTATCAGGGATGAAGATAGCTTTACTTTTGAAAGCAGAGATATAAACTAGAGAACTTTTTACAAATTCCACACTCAACTCTCGCATGTTACAAGTTCCACACCCAACTCCCGAGCGATTCTAACAGCTAACGTTAAAAAGAGCACTTCTCATCCAGATTACAAACGTCGGACACACCATACGGAATCATTAGATACTATTTACTTACCACAAAAGGGGTGATATTGTAGTTTCAAATAGCACAGAGGATTTGTATGAATTAACCCCTTTATTTTATTTCTTCACTTATGGTCCTGCTTCCACAGAACCCCGAAAGATCCACTCGTCTTAAAAAACAATGCGAAAACATCAAAACTATAAGGAAACAACAACAGAACAACATATCTAAATGTTTACTTTCTTTTAATATATAATGCTATTTCAACAGTACAGAAAAGTAACAAAAATCAATGTACACGGGATTGAAACTGAAGCTTACTACAACTTTAAACGCTCACAAAGCATCTAACCAGACCAACCAAAACATGACTACACTACAGCTCTCCTTACTTCTGTTTTCTTTTTACCCCTACTTATTGCTATCCATTTATTCTATTTCTACACCTATTACATATTCTGGGTTTTGTTTTGTTTTTTTCCTTTTTCTACGCTCCAAATTTTCCCCTTTTTTTCTTTTTTTTGTTTAACCTTTCTAATACTTTATAAGCTACAACTAAAGAAATGCAAGTTAATCTTCCGTGAAGAATTCAGAATTGGCCTCAAAATGAGCCATACCTGAATGGATGTTCCCTTGAAATTTACATGTAAGCCAAAGGGACGCAATCTCTGGAGATCACCTCCGGTGGAAAAAAAGAAAATCAGGATGATTGACCCGTAGTGTCGTAAGCCAATTTTCTGCTTCCTTCAAGAGGGAGTTCAATAATTGCTTTTCAGACCCTCCCCCTGGAATCCACAATGATGGTCTGAACTTATAGTGCCCAAGACCAAAAATGGGCACTGAAATCTTAGGTACACCATCCGCTTCACTTGGATATTTGAGAACGGGAGCAGGCACACTTTGAGAACCTGCAAAAAGTCCACAACACGTGAATGCATAAACTTGGTGCCAAATAAAAGAAAAGAGAGAGAGGCTGCATCAAGGGGCGAAAAGATCATACTATACATACAGCAAATAAAAACATCAAGAAAATATTTGCGGATTATACGTTATAAGGTAACCAATTCCAAGCATTTATACACACAAGTGATTAGTAGAAGGCACAAGATTCAACTACCTGTCACTGATGTATGAAGAGAATGGAAGGTCAAAAAGCAAGCATCCAAGTCTTTAAGAGTTGGCCCCACGGGTATCCGATATATTGGGTACCTGAAACAGTAAATCAACATTAAAAGTCAGTCATCCACAACATTCCTCCAAAATGGAAACGACAACCAAATAAAACAACCATACCAGGCAACAGAAACCCAACTTGAAGGTAGCAGATCACAGCTTCTCAGTGTTTTCAGTTCAGGAAAGGCACGGGAGAGTTGTGATATCTGATATAACAGAATAAATAAGATCAGAACCAGGGAAGGCAATCACCAACACAGGAGTTATTATAGATGGTTGCATAAAAGGAGGGGAAAACCAACCATATCAGCTAGAGGTTGCCGACCATAAGGTTGGTCACGCTCAAAATATTCGAATAACAAGCAGCCTTGAGAACTTCCAGGTTCACTTTCATCACTAGAAAAGCCCTCTTGTAGCAGTTGGTTGTCTCGCAAGGACAATTGATCCATTTTAAGAGCATTCTCAACATTCAAGGCACTGTAGTTCCTTCCTCGCTGAGAAGAACTAAGATAACCTCTCTCATCACAGTCACTGCTTCCATCACTACATGAATCTCTAAAGTAGTCACCATCACTATCCTCTGCCGGTTGCCTATTGTACCAAAACAAGAGGAAAAAAAAACGCATAAGCTTGCAACCAAGGAACCACTTAAAGAAACAAATTTCCACTTTTCAGACATAACCCTGTTGTCTGCTAAGTGCTAACAACTAAGAGATAACAGAACTCTCAAATTCCCAAAATCACTCCTTTTCTTCTAATGAAAACTGACAGCAGATGTTCAGGTTTATAGAAAATTTAACGAGTAAAAGCACAGTTGGCACTCCCAGGGAAAACAAATCGCAAAAATACTAAATGGGCCAAGAAACACAACACAGCCCTAACCCTGACTCTATAAAGCCAGTGCATAGCATCATAAAACTGGGGAAACTAGTACACTTGGCCTCCTAGTCTAGTGTAGTTATACCAAATGAAACCTCAACCCACAGAGCCAGTTTTTAATAATGGTTTTCATCTGATCTTTCACTTTTTCAGCAACTTTATGCTTTCTAGCAACATAGTCACATTTCCAGTTCTCACTTCAATTAAATTTCTTATAATTCACTTTCCAATTCCCAATGCAAGGCCAAAATAAAAGGAGCTGCGGAACATGAAAAACCATCCACAAAGTTACACGCCAGTTTTATGAAGTCAATAATACCTTGAGACAAAAAGGAAAATGATATATGAGGTTTTTCCAGATTCTCTAAGGTGCTAAAATTCAATCTGATATTGCAAAATTACAAAGGTAGGGGGGTATAAAGAAAAACCCAAAAAATATAATACTAGGATGGAGAGAGAAAAGTTTTAAAAAAATTTAAATCTTTAAATGCAGGTGAAACAAATTGATTTATGATGCCAAAACCCAAAAAAAGTAACCAAAACAAACAAACAAACAAACAGACAAACAAATAGAAATCACTAGAGAATAGAAACTGATAATTATAATTACCAGTTCGAGCTCCACTGCTGAAAAAAAAATTTAAAAACCATCATCAAAGGAAAATAAAAATAGAGTTTCTTATTATAAACTCCTACAAAATGAAGCCGCGATTAAGGTAGGGGCCATAATGCCAAAGTTACAGTAGAAACATGAAAAACACATCTGTACACTAAAAGTATATAAAAATTAAATGAGCATCAATGCACAACTCGGTTTTCAGATTTTACAAATTTCAATCAATACAGTAACAAGTAAAAAGTTTCTCCCAATGAACAAAACTATACAAAACTATACAAGTGTAGCTTCTTGGCAAACATTTTAGAAATGACAGCTGCAACAAGGAATTACAGAACTTTGAAGGAGAATATGAAACTTTAACAAATCTGCTATATTTCTTCAACAATAAAAGTACAATTTATAAATAAAAATATCTATATTCGCAAAACTGAAGCACTTCAGATGCTGAAATTTACCACACGAGAGATACTTTTTTGCAATAGAATATAAAAATTGCATTGAAAAATGAAAGAATGATGCTCGCGGAGCAGCAGAGTTAAGCAACAAGAGGTTCGGACAAGAACTTCCAAGTAAAAGTATGGGTTAATACCTCGACTTTACCAATGACCCTGAAGGGTCACCATATAATTGAATGCCCGACAAATAAGGCACATAATACTGAACAACATCATCATGGTCATCGAGTACCAAAGGTACCCCAGCACCATATGCACTCCATTCCTTGAATGAATCCCATAAATCACCAAGAACAAAGTAAGGCCGGAATTCTACATCGCACGTCCTCCATCCTTTCACTGTTGTCTGTCATAAGAATACAACTTTAGTTTAATTCCCTATAGGGTAACACAAAATTCAAAAGCACCAAAAACACTCAACTTGCAAATCAGAACCCATTACAAACTGTAGGTTTAAAAGAAGAATAAGAGAGTAGGTGATACTCTTGACAAGTCATCAACATAGAATCTTTCAGGCATTCCCTAAAAAAAACTAGGTAATAGATACATCTGCAGTCATATCAAAATAAAAAGCCATGACGTATGTGTGAAACTACTATCAATCCCTTCACCATTCATAATCTAATTAGCATCAAAGTGATATCCATAGGCTTTCAGAGCACAAAAACTTCAGCATTTACGATTAAGAAAAGAAAAAGAACTTTGCCTAATTTATCCGCCAAAAATCATTAATCACAAAATGAACAGCTACAAAGCATTTAAAAACAAAATCACAACGTAAAGAGACCTTAGAGAGATATTGAGCGGTAACAAAAGGCGTGACGGACTCCAAAAACCGTCCCAAATTACACGTCTCTTGTAGCGACGGCTCCAACGTCTTTGAACAAAGTGGAATGTCAACCGGCTTCTCGTCACCGGCTTCAGGAGCTCCGGCGCGACCCTCGACTTCCGGCAGCCGAGGAGATTGGCTAACGGTAACGTCACTCTGAGCTCTCCTCAAATGATCCTGGCTCTGAGCATGATTCCGACTCCGGCGAGCCCTCGCTGCACTGTAAAACCGATCCTCCCCATTCCTACTCCGATTAAATTGCAATCCAGCCCCCAACATCTTCTCCAAACTATAAACCCCCAAATACAAAAACCAAAAAAAAAAAAAAAAACAAAACAAAACAAAACAAAAAACAAAATGATAATAAAAAAGGAAAAGGGGCTAACTTTTTTCCCTTTGTCTAAACCCCTTTTCTATATCTCAATATGTCCAATTTAAACTATTATCTCAATCCCAGATGAGACCAAATAACGATTGATGTGAAATGCAATAAATTAAACCAGAAAAAGGGCCAAATTGCGGGGCAGCAAAACAAAGATGGTGCAAGATGAACAAAACCCTAAACGATGGTTTAGAAATGGATCAAAAATCCGCAAGACAAGAATCAATCTTGAAGATGCTTATCTTGCAATTATATGTATTTAAAAAGGGACTTTTTTTTGTATCTATAAATCGGTGTTCCGATGATTCTGCACTGCACGTGTCGTGTCTCTGCGAGTTTCTTCAGATAAGAAAGTGGTGAAAAGGTAGGTTGAAGATGAGAACGAGAATTGAATGAATGGGAAATAAGCAGAAAGAGAGAGAAGCAATAAAGGTCCTGAAGAAAAAATGGATGGGCAGGGAAAAACTGGGCACTCGGGGGGAAGAAGGCAACAAAATGATACTACGTGATTTCCTTTAATTTAATTGTTATTTATTTCCACTTGCTTTTTTTTTCTTTGTTTTGATTATTAGTACTCTATTAATTTATTATCCTAGATATTGTCCTATAAATAGTACCACGTAATTGCGATTTTCTTTTTCTATTTCTATTTCTAGTATTCTCATTGGTATTTGTTATGTACAAGATATATGTATTCTTTTTGTCCTGATTTTTGTGTAACAACAAAATGGCACTTTCTGACTCGAAATAATTATTCAATTTGAATTTATTTTTAATTCATATTTTATTAAAAATGACTTTTAATTTTAAGACAAAAAAATATTAATATTAATATTAAAATACTAATACTTAAGCATGAAATTTGTATGATCCGTTGCATAATTGGACACGATCTAATCAATATTTTATATCTATTAAATACTATAGTAATAATATTATAAAGTTATTATGAGACTGGACTTCTTTCATTATCCCAAAAAGGAAAAAGGACAAAAAAAATAAGGCACATAATAAACAATCCTGAAACAATTATTATGACTTATAATAAAAACTAGAGAAAATATTATACACTATTTTGAAATATATGAACAGTAAAGACTATATAAGTGGAAGAAATACACCTAAAATCTTATTTAGCTCGAAAAATACTATTTCCACACAATCAATTACTACTTCTTCCATTGATTCTTTCTGGTCTATTTGTGCCTTTGTGGTACCTTTTTATTTTGTCGAGCACATCAAACTTTAGAAAATGAGCTCAAAATCACAATTGTTATGGTTTCAATGATTCTCTTGAAAAACTATAGGAGACGGCTCTGTTTGGATGGTTTTTTTAAAATAATTAAATAATAATTATCCCATTCTAACATACTTTTTTGCATTTCCAATGCACATTTTTATATTCTTAATACAAAAAAAAAAAACCTAAAAACACACACTGAAAAAACGATCCAAATATAGCAGATTTCCTCGCATTTTTATAAATATGGACCTATATGTAAGTTTTCTAAAAGCATGTATATTTTTCAAATTACGTAATCAATAGATTAATATTTATTTGACCACACCTCAATTTCCCCAACTTTGTTGAATAATTCTAGTCTTTAAAAATAAAAAAAAAAACTTTTGTTAGCCACTTTAGTTGTTTATACTAAGATATAGAATTACCCATTCGTTTCATACTATTCCAAATGCAGTTTTATCAATTGGCCTCTCATTCAAACGTCATTATAAAATTACAATTATTTTGTGTCACATTATTTTGATATCCTTTATCTTTTCCATGTAATATTTCATACAATACTAATATTTTGCAATTTTTAAACTGGAAAAGAAAAAAAAATGAGTACCTGTCACAGTTTCAGGTTTAATGAATCAATCAGCATAAGATATTAGATACTAGTTCAACTACTAAATGACCCTGGAAATCGAATCATATTACTGCTTAACCAAGAAATATTGTAAGTAGCATTAATTATTTCGCTTTTTTTTTTTTTGTTTTGTCATTTTTTGCGAATTAAAAGATGCATAAGAATATCTGCTAGTAGTATATTCCTACCAAATAAATATGCGTACAAGTAACCAGATATACAAGAAGTGCATATTTTGTTTTCTGAATTAGATCAACAATCACTTCCAATCAATAGAAAATTTTAACATGTAATGGATCACATTTAGCCCTTTTTTTCCTTTTTTCTTTTTTTTTTTTTTTGGGGGCAATTAATACGTATAAAAGACAAAATAAAACCATAAGGATCGATGTATAACATAAGTAAGATGCATGTATTAATATTGAAAAAAAATGATAGAGACCTTGATACGTACCTGTATGTAGTGACAACTAAGAATACAATACTAATCAGAAGTTATCACTTTTTCTAAGAATAAATAAAGGGAAAAAAATGAAAAGACAAATTCTAAGGACAAGGGAAAAGGTACTTTAAACTATAAAATTATTTGGTATGCGTCACGCTGTATTGTTTATACTGGAATTATTAATAATTAACTTAATGTCAAATCAACCATGGAGTGCTTGAAAAGAAAGGATGCTAAATTAGATGTGTTACTTTCAACAAGGAATATTTTTTTTAAGTTACGTATTTAAAATGCTAATGATATAATGGAAATGCAAAATGAAATGAAAATGTCACTATTTCTTTCCCCTCCATACAATTATGAATTATCCAGTTTTTATACTACTTTTAGTATCACAATATATATATAAGAATCGTGGCGATACATAAATAAAATAATATATACACGATAAAAGAAAGTATCCGCAGAGGGGTACATAAACATGTCTTTGCTATTTGCTGCCGTGTTTGCGGCAGAATTGAATCACCTCCTGGCTCCCGCCATTAGTGATTAGTGTGGTTAACACATAATACTTCCATCTCAAAAAAATATATCACATTGAGTTTTTAAATTTGTGCTAAAAACAGTACAAAATTTAAAATTTAATGTGGATTATTTTTGTGGGACGGAGGGAGTATTTTTTTTATTAAAAAAATCCTCTATAATAAACTCCACTTAAATGTGAGTTAAAAATCCTCTTTACAACTCCTGGGAGAATCGAACCATGGTCTATTACCAGGAAGAACAGCAACCTAATCATTAGGCTGTCGTTCAATTCCCTAGTATCAGTTAATACATCGCTGCAGTGAAACTTACATAATTGTTTTTTATTAGATTGATGCGTCACCTTAAAGTGTTCCAAATTTTGGTGAATTAAGGTTAGAATAATTGAAAATAGTGGAGTTGGAATCCTAAGTCAGTACGTGGATGAGTATTTAAGTACATTAATTAAAGTGAAATGCATTTCTTTAACCTAAGAATTAGTTAGACAATGTGTAAGACTTGGACATAAGGATATAGTGAAACCTTGAAATGTAGTAGTTATAAACTGGAGTACATCGTGGCTCATGATTTACGAAATGCACATAAAGCATGTCCAATACTTCATGATAGTCATCTAATCGGAGATTTTACATCAGAAATAGTAGGCGACGATTGATCAATCCTAATAAAGTTCAATAATAGTACTTGTTATCCCAACATGCAATGGTGCTCTAATCTACCGAATTGAAAGAGAATTTGTAAGATGAATATAGCGATTTCTTTTCATATAATTAATTGAAAAAGAAGAAGAAGCAGCGTTTCACCACCTATGCGTTTCCGAAGGAAAATAGCAAAAAATATATATATATTAAAATATATATACTAAATAAAATTTATGACAAATCATAATATTTTATAATAAAGACAAAATGGAGTAAGAAATAGCAGTTTCTTTGATAGGAAATTTTGACGGATACATCCTAACGTTTATCCTCTGCTAGCCAATTCATCACAAATTTTTAAAATTGAATGATTATATCCCAAGATTTTTAAAATTGAGCGCAACCATCTCATGACTCGAAACAACACAGAATTGACTTGGTACAACAGGTGAAAATTCGTATTTTCTCTCACTCTCTCTTAATTTTTAATTTTTTTATAAAGTTTTTCCAAACCTGATTATGACCTTATTACGAAGAAGTAGTTGATTTTTTATTTTTAAAATTTTTTTTGAATATCTAAATAATGCATGATGGATTTTAATTCCACATGTTTCAAACATAAATTGAATACCTATGTTTGGATTTTTTTCAGTGTGTATTTTTAGATTTATTTGTATTGAAATTGTAAAAAGGAGTGTTAAAAATGTAAAAAAAAAAAACTAAAATTGGACATTTATTAATAAATTATTATGAAAAATTTATAAAAAAATTTCAAACAGATTAAAGATCGAGTGTTTTGTTCAGTAACCGTAACGGTATTGGGTGAGATGAGTCGATGGCATGACATAATTAACCAGACTAAAGTAAAAAAGAAAAAAATAAAAAAAGAAGAAATAATTGGCAAAAGAAGTAAATACCGAATTAAGTAAAATTTATGAAATTAATTAAAATTTATCTTTTATTTCAGGTTAACAACATGTCATGGGATGGTTGCGCTCAATTTTAAAAATATTGGGATATAATCACTTAATTTTAAAAGTTTGGGATGAATTAGCTAACAGATGGTAAACGTTGAGATGTATATGTCAATATTATCTTATTTGATACTATGTACAAGTCTATAGCCTTTGAAAATACGAAGAAAATGATGAGGCAAAATTTGTGTGGTAGGTTTTGCGAGGAGGGAAGATACTCCCAATCACCGACCATAGTGATATAATAATACTACAAAGTGCATAACTTCTTGAGTGATATTTCAGAAAAATCAGATGTTTCGATGAAGAGCATAACTTCAAATGAAGAAAATTCGTTTGCAATATTGGCCGGAGAATCTCAGTCACCAGAAAAAGATGACGATCACGATGAATTCATCAAAAATCATTACAACAGATCCAAGAATCACTCAATCAGAAAAGGAAAAGAAAAGAATGAAGTGACCAAAGTAGGAATCTACTTTTGAATTTTTGACAAAAGTAGGAATCTACTTTTGAAATTTTTTACAAATAGACCACCACCTTTAGTCAAATCTGAAGAAAACCATGTCAAATAATGACAAAAGTTAATAATTTTTGTACAATAGTAGTTTTAACTTTTGTAGAAAAGTAGTTAGACACTTTGTCTATAAATAGAATGTAGAAGTTCTTGTGGAGAGGAGCATTCTCTCCAAGCATTCTCTCATTTCTTCTCCCTTTATCCCGAAATTCTCTCTCTCCCTTGTAAAAACATCATTCAATAAATCAATTTGGCGTGGGGTTGGGGCCTGGCCAGTGCTTATCTTAGCCGGTAAGACCAGGCAAACAGACGAGCAAGGAAACCAGGCCGGAATCCAAACCACCACCTGGCCGATACCATTCATCCGGAGCTATGCCTTGTCACCACTACAGGATCAAAATCTCTATCCATCCTTAATTAAAATATCAATAATCGAGATGCATGGAAAAGTTTCACCCAACTCTCAAGCCTCATCTGAATTCACAACTTATTGTGCATCATGTGGCCTCTTTTCCCTAAAACAATTCATCATAGCGGTACTTTT